CTGAGTATGCAATAATAAAATGCTGGAAAATCTAAAACACTTGAACCCATCATTTGACTGAGGTTGCAGGGCAATGATCTAACATGAAATCTAATCTAAAGAAGAAAATGCACTACAAGGATAAATGGAAAGCAAGAACATGATGACTTGGGGTAGATGCTCCTGGACACATGCAATAAGAATTCATCTAGGGGAGGAGCCCAGATGGCGGAGGAATAGGACGGGGAGACCACTTTCTCTCCTACAGATTCATCGAAAGAACATTTGAACGCTGAGCAAACTTCACAAAGCAACATCTGACCGCTAGCAGAAGACAAATACACACCCTTATATACATACATATATATACACACCCACATATATATATATATACGTATATATGCATATATCTATACACACACACATATACACACCCACCCATCTGCTAAAGCAGCCTCTCCCCAAAATGGCTCCAGCAGCCCATAACCCTTTTCAAAGATTTAAAATCCACCCACCCTGGTGGGAAACATGATTACTTTCACATTTGCACTTTCCCTTGTCTCATTTTTGCAAGTCTCTGCAAAATGCTTATCAACCACCTGACTTGATCATAATACAGAAGGGTTTAAAGGGCAGTTTTCTTCACCTCTTCTCCTAGACAGAAGAGGTTAACCTTGCCCGAGTTTCTTGGCACATTTGAGGTCCGAGAGGCCCTGACAAATTCCTCCCCATGCAAGGGAATCATCTGGGAGGGTGATTTGAAATGCAGATTCCCAGACCCTGCTCCCAGGCTCAGAAGGGGTGGGTGCGGAACAGCCCCAGGAACTGGCACTTGCCTAGGATGCTGGCGGATTATGATATGGAAGGCAGTTTACCAGAAATGAGCCAGGCACACAGCAAAAACCAACCAAGGAGATTTTTAATTTCAGCTGATGAGTAGAAAATATCTCACTATCTTAACACTTGATTAGCAAAAAGCAGTTCTTAAGGGTTGCTCATATCTTAAATCATTTTCTCGCTCAGGGACACAGCTTTTATTTATTCCTTGTATCCATTCTACAAGACTTTAGCAAGCAAAGTGCCTGTGAACTCTCATACAAGTATTGTGCTCTGTGGAAATTGGCAAAGACAGGTTTTGCTTGCATTGGACGTCATCTGTGGAATCAGGCACCACGTCCGGGCCAGGCCCCGCGTGTTCAGCACTGGTCAGCGAGGATGTGAGGTTCATGGTAAAGGATGCAGCTTTTCAAAAAGCTCCCATCCAAAGTGATACACAAAGCAGACTGAGGCTGAAATTTATACAGTATGTTTTGCTAGTATGGACTGTGGAAAAGTTTTATTCTCTCCAGATTTTGTTTCAGAGGGCAGCAAAAAGAAAAGACTGTGAGATGCTTGTAATAACCTAAGTTGATGGTTCGAATTAAGCAATCTGGTACTTTTCCACAGACCTGATGACCTCTGGGTCATCTCTGTGTCTTTTTGTTCTGTGTTTTTTTTAACAAACCTGAAGGGAGACCCCCCAGGTGGCAAACACTGGGTGGGCCACCATTGCCTCCCGTGTTCCAAGTGCAAAAATGCTAACCCAGAATTTTCTTTCACTTCTAACAGGGCTCCCAATTTCAAAGCAGGTTTTGTGCTCATGTTCTAAAGCTCTCCACAAAAATTCCTGTAGTGGCAACAATGAAACAGCTAAATAACTCAGTGGAAATGAAGCCTGCAGGTCATGGTACTTTCGTAACATAAGAGGTATTTTCTACCTAAGCTAAAAGGCTGAAACACCTAACATTCACCCGAAAACCAAAAATACGTGGAATACCACACCTCTTCGAAACGGGAGGAAAACAGTGTAATAATGGGAATAAGAAAGACCAAGAAAGGCAATCCAAAGGTGTCAACCTTCTTCCAGAAAAGTAACGCACTCTGAGAACACCCACACCCTACATGTCCCATGAGAAAATGATGGCCCATAAATACAACGTGACTTGGATTGTGAGATGCAGATGTAACAGCTTGTGAGCTAGTGTGTGGGCTATGACACGAGAGACATTATAACTGAATGTAAATGCATAGAACACGAATCGCTGTTGTTGTTTAGTCGCCAAGTTGTGTTCCACTCTTTTGCAACCCCATGGACTGCAGCCCGCCCATGGAATTTTGCAGGCAAGACTACTGGAGTGGATTGCCACTTTCTCCTCCAGGGGATCTTCCCTACCCAGGAATGGAACCTGAGTCTCCTGCACTGGTGGGTGGATTCTTTACCACTGAGCCACCAGGGAAGCCCCGAACATGAATAAATGCCGATAATCACAGAGATGCTAACCGAGAGCAGATATTAACATAAGAGAAAGCGTCACAACATCCTCTCCCAAACTCAAAGCCCCATCATCACCAACTGCCCTGGTTCACCATTAGCAGTTTTTGAAAACTTGACATTCTTCCCAAATATGATCCCCAAATAATATTACACTAGTCTCATACATTTGATTCTTCTGCTCCTCTTCAACATTAGCTCCTAGAGGCACTTAAAGAATTACCTGACTTTAAGGGAAGTCAAACACTGAATTTAAATGATCATTTTAATTACCTAAACTTAGTCAATTAGCTACATGTTGAAAATATTTCATATCAATTTAATACATAAAAATAATAATTTGGTATGAAGTCCATAATAAACTGTCACATAAACTGTCTATAATAAGAATCACCATGATCATAACAGTAATTTAACTGCCCTAAAGTGAGAAGAGTGAACCTCTAATATTTTGTCTCCAGGACTGAGGAAAGAAAATATACAGAGAAAAATCTGAGATAATGAGAAATAAAGTGCTATTAAGATTGCTGTCACTTTTCAAAGGTTAATATCCAGAAAGGGATAAAAAATCAAAACAAAACCAAAAAATAAAAAACCCCAAAATTCAAGAAAGATCAGGAGACCGAATGAATTTTAACTTGAATTGATGAGGCAAACGCGTAATTTTGACCAATAACACCAGGTAAACAATATTCAACAGATTTTTTTTTTTGGTAATATATAAGGTCTGGAAAAATGGACAATCAATTTTCTGACCTGCTTCCTAACGCTAACTAATTTTCATTAATCTCGATGAAAGCACTCAGGAGAGTAAGAACAAGAGCTGCCATGAGCTGATTTACATTTCTTTGCTATAAAACCAGAAGTGGATACCCAAAGAAAAAGATCAATAATGAGGAAAGACTGTCAAAATGTTAAACACACACTAGATGCTGTTCATCATTCTTTTTAAGAATTGGGAAGTTGTAGGGTCTGTTGAATTAAGCAATAAAGATGTTAAGAGGGATGAAACCAAACCACAGGCACATCTTAATGCCTCAGCTAGTTTCTCCATCTATAAAAATCAGGACACTCTTAACTGCTGTCTGTTAGATGTAAAGCACTCTGGAAGTACAAACTGCTAAATCAACTATGACTGCCAAAAAATTCTAACCATAATGTGCTAAATAATGATGAGGAAACATGGACTTTGAACTTGACCACTTTTTTTTTTTTTTTCAAATTAATTGCACAAACAAGACTCTAATCTCTCATAGTATTAGACTTAGTATGGTGTTAGGTAACAAGCTCTAGGGATTCAAAAATCACTGAAAGGATCTTGTTTTTCCAATAGCTGTTGATTCAACTTTACAGGCAGTAATGAAAATAAGTTTACATCCTACTTCAGTAACTGCAGAAATATCACCATGACACCTGTGTCCACATTTTGGCTAATTCCAACTAGAGGCCATTCTACTCAAAATTCTGGTAGAAGTGTAAATCTATTAAGCAACCACTTTTTTCAGAATTTCCTTTTATTTTAGATTGATTTTGAAATCCCAAACCATGGTTATGTTTTAAACTATCTTCTGGGAATTAGGATTTTCAGCTAGAATCACTGTTCTCTGCCCCTTCCAATCTCTTGGACTATCATATATATTAGATGGTAGACCTATCAAAGAACACAGTGCTTTTTTAAGACTTGTTTAATGAGGAAAGAGGATAAAGATACTGGCACCAATTCTATAACCTTCCAAACTTTCTAGGCCTATGGTGCTTGACCAGGTCATAAAATTTAAAATCTAAACTAGGAAAGCTAACATGATTGTACGACTCATCTCTAACACGTTGTTCTTTTCCCATATACATCTGAAATAACTACCAAGAGCTATGAAACTGAAAAACAAACAAAAGACCCAAAGAATTTTAAATCACAGGAAGATGACAAAACCTTAATGATCAAATGCATTTTAATTCCTTCTCATTGAAAATATAACATCTGAAAAATATAGTCTTTTAAGTCCACAAGCTAATCAAACTTCTGCTTATGAAGTGCATTGTTCTGTGAATTATCTGGACGATTAGAAATAAAATGAAGCGATGAAGAACAATTTAAACCAGGGGCCCCCAACCTCTGGGATGATCTGCAGTAAAGCCAATATAGTAACAGAAATAAAGTGCACAATAAATGTAATGCACTTGAATCATCCTGCAACCACCACTCCCCAAGTCCATGGAATAATGGTCTTCCATGAAACCGGTCCCTTGTGCCAAAAAGACTGGGGACCGCTGGTTTAAACATCACTAAACAAACAGGTCTACATTCTGTTTATTATATATTGGGGGGGAGACAGTCAAGTCCAGTTACTATTTTAAGGAAAAACTAAACATCTGTGAAAGAAACCAAAGTAAAGGGTATGATTCACATTAAAATGCAAATATATAATTTTATCCTGTTAACAACCAAGACCTCAAATACCAGTTTTAGTGACTCATATTAATTTAATTGTGACATTAGCTTGTATAATCAGAGATGTAAAAAGACCACTGTGTTCCAAACATAATTTCGCACCAGCATCTCATTTCATGAAACCATTAGTCAAGATGAGAGCCTCTGAACAAATTTATATTTGATTAGTTTCACTTATTTAAGAACGCTGAATAATTTAGGACCGCTGAAACGAGAGGAAAGCAAAGCGGGCATACTGCGGTGCTGAAGCTGTCGGCTCCCTGCCCATTCCCGGTGGACCCCGAATTCAGAACGATCAGGAACTGTGAGTACCTTCCAGGTGAAGCCACATCAGCCTCCCCTTCACAGCTATGACGGAGGCCACGCAGAGCTCTCCCGGGTTCCTGGGGTTCACGGCTTCAAGCTTCATGTTCTTTGTGAACCCCCGACTGAACGATGTCTGGAAGAGAAAGAGAATGGACACTGAGCCAGCAGATGCCACAATGAGAAAACGCTCAGAGACAGTGGAGCCAGCTGGCACAGCAGAAATGAACAGACATGCACCCATGCACACACACACATGTGCACACGCATACAAGTGCACAGTTCATACTAAGATAGGCGAGTTCACACGCTGATTTCCCCATCACCTATGAGGAAAGGGCCACACATTCTTCATCTGTGTCCCAGAAAAGAGAACTCTGCTTGGCACACAGCAGGTGCCCAATAATACCCGAATGAGTGAGAGGATGAGTCCATTCTCATTTCCCAGTTCTGTGTGCATCTTTCCGACCCCAGAATTACTGTGACACCAATCACTTCTCCTCTTCCCCGTGCTCCTCACTCACACCACACCGGGTACATTTCAGGGTGAAAGGAGACCGCAATCTCCACCTGGCATCACCTCCTTCAGCCTGATGTCTGTCCTCCAGCGTGTTTGTTTTGTTGTTTTAACTGCAGGTCTGCTGGTGTTGACTTCTCAGTTTCCTTTTATCTGAAATGGTCCTTATTTTCCCTTTGATCCTTTTGCTTATTTTTATTTACTTTTGAAATTCACTTTTAAAAATGTACATAGAGGGAAATTCATTCTTTTCAGTGTGATGTCCTAGGAAGGCAGGACTGTCAGATGAATGCATGCAATCATGCAGCCATAATCACAGTGAAGACACAGAACACGGCCGTCACCTGCAAAGAGGCCTGGCACTAAGATTCTGGTGATCAATCCCTCCAGGACCCCCAACTCCTGGACCACTGGATCTATCTTCTGTTGCTGTAATTCCACTCTTCCTCTAACACCATTTAAGTAGACTATTATTCCAGGGGGCCTTGCGAGTCTGGCCTTTTTCACTAAGCAAAGTGTTATCTAAGAGTCAGTCATGCTGCCACAGGACTGGCACCTCATTCTACTTCGTGCTGACTGGTATCTACAGAAGAACCACAGTTTATCTCTCCATCTATCAGCTGGAGGGCAGCTGAGCGGTTTCCAGGCTTTGCCAGTTGTGCACAAAGCCACAATGGACACTCAAGGACAAGTTTTTGTGTGAACGTAAGTTCACTAATATGCTCAGGCTGCCAGAGCAAATACCACAGGCTGGCAAACTCAAACAACAGAAATGTTGACTCGTGGTTCTAGAAGCTAGAAATCCAAGATTAAGTCGTCAGCAAGGTGAATTTCTTCTGAGGCCTCTCCCTTGGCTTGAAGATGGCCATCTTTGCCATGTCTTCACACGGCCTCTCTGCCATGTATGGGGTCTGTGTCCTGATCTCCTTGTCTTATGGGGACATGTCATGGTGGATACAGGCCCATCCACAGGACCCCACTATACCTAGTTACTCCCCTAAACACTCTAACTCCAAGTAGTCAACATTTTGAGCTGCTGAGAATTAGGAATGTAACACATGAATTCTGGGGGGACAAAATTCAGCCCCTAACACTAAGTTCTCATTTTTCTAGGGAAAGAAGGATTGCAGGGCCATAAGATAAATGCAAAAGTCTGTTAAAAAAAAAAAAAGGGATGACCACTCCTGTGCACCTTTCTTCCAGGCAGCTGTTTCCCTCCAGAATCTGCCTGCTTATGTTCATTCTCCATGCTTCTCAGGTGCCTGTTTGGATATTCCGTCCAGAATTTATAGTTGCTATCTTCAGGGGAATCAAGTCAGTATGAGCTTACTCAGCCAATACTAGAAGCAACACTCCCTCCTAATATTTCAAAATAAATATGAAATTTTCCCCAAATTATCCACTACTTATGTTTTTTTATCTGAAGTTACAATACTATATAAATATATCTAATTTGAAATATATAAACTGAGATAAACAAGTTCCTGTAAGTAAGAGAGGTTGCATCTTTATGTGACTCGTAGAAGGAAACCAAGGTAATTCGTATTTCCATGTTTTTTTTTTAATGGAAGTTAAGTTGAAAATGCAATTAAATCTTTATGTTACCAGAACTAAATTATCCAATGTGTGTATTAAGAAACCAATTTGCTCCTTTCCTTTATGTTTCTTCAGAAATAAAAATCAAAGAAAGTCTAGGTTGGCTGTTTTTCTGCAAGTGATCCTGCCAGGTTCATGACTATTAGGTATTGAGCTTCTTATTGATGACATGACCTGATAGGCTGCCTGAAAAGTCTCTAAGTAAGTTAAAATGCATTTTATCCTACTTAATAAGGGAAAGCTACAACCGTATAACCTACTTTCATTTTAGCTCACTGCAGGAGGGTAATTTATAAAGGACCAATAGCAAAACTATTACCTGTGAGTTTATTCTACTAAGTATTTGGCTATGTCGATCCATCTCAGAACCACCTCGGATTTTGAAACATCCCGAGGGCAACATCTTCCACGCACCGACTTCCGCATTACCCCTCCTCTAGTACACACAAGATGTGTGATTAAAAAATGAATTCACAATAAGCATGCCATTCAAGAGCACTTGTAGCCTGCTAACATCATCCAGCAAGGTCCCAATAATGCAACGCATGTGCCACCAGGCAGATATCCAAGCTGTCGATTAAATAAACGGACAACCAGATACAAAATTGGGGAGGGGCATCTTGATAACAAGCGCATTCCTAATTAAAACGCCAGTGTTTTCATTAATACAGATCTCATCTTGGTATGCTGAATCCTGAAAGCTCAGAGGCCACCTGGGGACAGAGCTCCTAACTCCCCATAAAGATCCATTTGAACAACGGCTAGCAGAAGGCATATAAAAAGATGCCTTGAGGGAAGCACGTTGTCCTGGAAGAAATAACTTGCCAAATCCAGAACGAGATGGGGATGTGAAGGTTTTCTTTCCACGGCTAGAGTTGGGGAAGGATGATCTCCCATCTGGAAGAAAGCAAGGCCTCAGAGGGGTCTGAGGATGTGATGAAGAGTTTCCAGAATTAAATGAAAGGCAGTGAGACCAGTAGTTTCCATGACTAGTGATATCAACACAGCACAGAGTCCAGTTAGACTCCAGTGGACTTAACACGCCTTCAGAGCTGACCAGCTGCTGTTCTCTGCTGGCTGGTCGCACGCTGTCTCCATGCCCCCCAACATACACACAGACACACACACACACACACACACACACGCAGCTGTCTCCATACCCCCACCACACACACACACACACACCCACCGTACAGCTCTGTCAATGCCGTGAAAGGCAATGTCTCCCAGTAGGAGTTCACCGGATCACGTGCGGAGCCCTGATTTCTAGCCCTGCCACAGATGTGTTTCTGTATTTACGAGCACAAGCTGACCTCGTCATCAACCTACTTAATTTCCCCAAATCTGATTCTGATTTATGCTCAGTATTGAGCTTCTCTCTATTAAGCCAGCTCTTCCCAACAGAAAGGGCTGCCAACCGAGTCCCTGGAGGATAAATTATCCTGAGGCAGCAATGAATCAGCAGCTCTGGGAGCACGTGCTGGAAGACACGGCTTCGGTGTGGGAGCGCGACACTCTGCAGTAGGCACAGTCCCTGGCGGGAGGGCCAAGTCTTCATTCTCTGCATAACAAATGAACTTCCAAAACTAAATCCATGTGCAACATACAAGGCTATACCTTTGTGCCTCATTCTCAAGATGGAGATGATTCACATCCCTTTTCGGTTCCTATGTTTCAATGAATAGTTTATAAACTATTTTGTACAACAAACTCCTATAACTAAGCAAGTACACACATGTTTGAACACACACACAGTTATTTCATGTGTCACTGTGCCAAAAAGCTATTTGAATGGGTAGCTTAAAGTAAGCACAGCAGAAAAGTGTTGGATTTAGTATCTTATTACTTTAATAAAAAAATTTAAGAACATAATTTAACATTATTTCTCTGGAGCAGAGAGTCTCCCATTCCATGAACTTATCGATATTATACTCCATGGACTTCCCTGGCAGTCCACTGGTTAAGACTCCACACTTTCAATGCAGGGGGCACAGGTTTGATTCCTGGGCTGGGAACTAAGATCCCACAGGCCACACTCTGTTGTTGGTGGTTAGGTGCTCAGTTGTGGCTGACTCCTTTGCAACCCCATGGACTATTGTCTGCCAGGCTCCTCTGTCCATGGGATTTCCCAGGCAGGAATACTGGAATGGGTTGCCAGTTCCTCCTCCAGGGGATCATCCCAATTTAGGGATTTGAAGCCGCATCTCCTGCATTGGCAAGCAGATGCTTTACCACTGAGGCACCAGGGAAGCCCTATGTGGCCCAGGTACACAGTTAATAGGGGCCCTGGTGGCTGGCTGTCCACCAAAATCTGTCCTCCTCCTGCCAGCGTCCAGGCTCGAGGTGGGGGGGCAGTCACCTGACCAGGGCATACTTCCCACCCATGGCATCATGCCACCGAGTGACTGGTTCTCAACAGTGCAAGGTGACAGAAGTAATATATGATGTGCGTCGGTATCAAACTCAGTGTCTAGAACCAAGGTTCTCCTCTCCCGGCTCTCCCTCTCCTGTCTGCTCTCTAGATTCAGATGACCAAGCCAAGTACAAGCCCAGCCCAAGGCTCAGCACAAGGAGGAGAACCACCTGCTGATCAGAAATAACCTGTACCATCCACCGGGGAGAGAGAAACTTAAGACATGTTTCGTCTCCAGTCCGCCATCATCGCCCCAACTGATACAAGAGCAGAAAGGACTTGTCAAGACCAACATGAAGTTTAGGCTCCTGGTGCAGGGTGGCACCCTGAGCCCAGCACGGTCAGTAAACAGGAAGCAACTTACACAGCACGTGCAACTCAAGGTGGGGAACACACACGAGAAAACGAGCTGCAAGAAGCAGGTGTCTTACGTTTCTGAAGCAGAAGGGAGGTGCCTCCTCTGTCCCATGCTGTTTGTGATAGTCCGCCCAGTCGAAGTCCTGGCCAGAGTAACCTGTGTGACAAACACAGATCCAACCCGTCAACGGAGCCGCGTCTCAGACCAAACAAGAGCGTTGCAGGGCGTCAGGGTTAAGGTAGGAAGAGGGGCAACTTCAGCCCCGCTCAAAATGTGAGGCCCTTTCTCAAGTGTGACAACATGTCGTAGTTTATGAGGGCTGAATGAAACACTGTAGAAAGTGCAAAGTACAAACTAAATACAGGCAAGCTGCACCATCATTACCATAATTCAGGGCCTGAACCAGGTGAAGGAGGGTATTTGCCCACATCATCACAGGTCGAGAGGTAGATCTGCCTTGGGGAGAACAGATCAGAGTATCACACAAAACACACGTGCACACGGCATTGGGCACGAATACGTGAACGTGCCTTCACATCAACTCTGAGTTCCCGTGAGCTTACAACTCGACATCTTCATGGAAACCATGAGATTTTATTAGAAAACACTGCTAGAGAGGAATAACCTTTAAAGAGCAGCAGAAGGTAAGACAAATAGCAAAAGAGTAAGTTGATATTGTAGCAAGAAAGCCTCCACAGATATGGAAATGGGGAGGAATAAACCTCGCCTTCGAACTGATGAAAAAGGAAGGAAAACGAGGATCCGAGAAGGTGGGCCTCTCTGGGGGGAGTTTTGCGGGCACATCTGAGATGCTGGGGAGTTTGAGAACCAGCTATTCATATGTACCAAATTTAATGTGTTCCTTTATTCATTTCATCTGGGGGTGGGGAGAGCTACATAATTATACAATATATATATAGATCCATCATGACCACCAGGACAAGACATATGAGAAGTTTAAAACATAAAACAAGAAATGTTGAGTATATGACTGAACCTAGGTAGGAAAATATCTCTTAATGTGAGTGTCAACTGCATTCCTATAAACACAGGAAGACAACTGGAAAAAAAAAAAATACAGCACCAATCAGGATTAACTGAAAGTGTGCAAATGTCCCTATAACCATCATTTTCGGTTCTCTCTTCACTGGTCCAAGTATACATAAAATCAACCTGTAAGGGATTTCTTAAGTATATTCTTAACCCAAGTCCCCTGACTTCTCTGCCCTGCATCATCATCATAAATTCTGCACCTGCAAATTCACTTAACATGGAGAACTCTGTTACTAAATCCCACAGCTGGAGACTACAGAAATTCCCACACTGAAGAAACTCAAGATACTGTTTGCTTCCAACTTACATGTGTACAAAACAGTATACTTTTCATTAAGTAAGCTCCAGGTACTCAATTGTTTTAAAGATGAGGGTGAGGATTAACCAAGAAGGCAGCCATCTTCCTGATCCGGGGACTGAGCCTTGACCCTCCCTCCCCACCATCAGCGGCAGAGCCTCTCCCCGCCCACCTCGTTCCTAAGACATCCCCGTAACGAGTGATAGTTCCTCAAGCAAGAAGACGACACGTCTCAGAGTCCTAAGAAGCTGGGTACTCTGCGGCTAGTTATGAAGATGTTCTGCATGTTCTTCCACATGCCCTCCCCCAAGAGCTGCCCCTCCAGCCAGAGGGTTCTGGTTTCTGGAAGCAACCAAACCAACTTCCTTCCATAAACAAAACAAAATGCGTTTTAAGTAAGGTACTGCGAGTTTCTTTACAATCAAGGTAATCTTCCACTTCAAGTACTTTCTCTGGGATTGTTTTGGATCAAATCCTTGCATGAATATGTAGGAATGGAAAAATTTACTAAAAGATACCTAAAAGCCAGTGAGAAGTCACTAAAAGCTGGTGAGACATTTCCTTCGCTGAACGCTGAACAAAAAGTACTGAACCAGGAAGGAGAACTAGATTAAAACCCAGTTCTAACAGGACTGGAATGAACCAAGGTCAGAGTAAATTAAATCTTCTGTACCTGACCTTCCCTATCTTCTAATCCACAAAATGAAGAAATGATAGTCAAAGTCTCCTTTGGTGGTAGTTTAGTCATTAAGCCGAGTCCAACTCTTGCAACCCCATAGACTGTAGCCTGCCAGTCACCCCCCACCCACTGGATTTTCTCAAGAAGGCTGGAGTGGGTTGCCATTTCTTTCTCCAGGGGATCTTCTGAACCCAGGGATTGAACCCGCACCTTCTGCATTGCAGGTGGATCCTTTACTGACTAAGTCTCCAGAGAAGCCCTAAGTCTCCTCCAGCTGTAGCATTACCTGCCTTGGAGCCACTATTACCACTTATTACTGCCAAGTAGGATACTCTCCCTTCCCTCTGTGGTGAATTCCCGTCTCTCCTCCTAGAGAAACGTGCAACGGGTTGAAGAGAGGTTACACAGCAAGACATTCCCTAGAAGAGCTCTTAACCGGACAGCTGGGGACAAGCTGAGTCCTGCAACGGAAGGGCCCTGTTTGTTTAGGGCCAGGGCAGACTGGCTGTGTTAAAGTCAAGATCTGCTTCTGTTCCATTTCTCTTCCCTGGGTCTCTGCTGCATTCTGGGTTAGTTTGTGAGCAAAAGAAAATCTCATCAAGATCGTGGGGTAAAGTGAGAAGGGAGAAATAGCGGGGAAGAAAAACTATTATAAATGAATGGCAAAACATTTTCTGAAATATCATCGAATTTAGGTATTCGGTTTGGTTAGTATCTTGTTCAGATAAAACTTTCCAACTTAACAGATCACCTCTATTCCTCGTACAGATAAGACTTTTAGCTGGGTGATCTATCACATTCATAAGCACCAGCTTCTAATGGATTTCAATCCTCCCCATAAACACTGGACTCACGGTTTCTTAGACCTGCATTCAGTCCTTCTATATCCAGTTGCCAAGACTCTACGGGGAGTGATTTTTATTCTACTAATTTCAGGATATATCCAAGTTTTGCGGGGTACCCGAGCAGTAAGCCGTTATCCTGCCCCCAGAACTCTCTCCTTTCCTTGAACATTTGAAAAACTTCAACTTCTCCTCCTCCTCCTCTTTCTCTCAAGAGACCTTCATTCACTGTCTCACTTGAAATTCTTCTCCTTTGGACTGATAATGAGCTCGCTTTGTAAAGCATTTTTGTGACAGCTCAGAAAATAACTGCTACATTAAAAAACAAACTGCTGCGGCTCGTATAATAGAGACAACAGGGGTCAATTATACTCATTAATCAACAAAGACAGAACAAGAAGTACTAAGGCTTAACCGTAGCCAGGAAAGCATGTTTTAAACCCAGGAGGGAGGAAAATAGCAGAGAGGAAAAGAAAATAAAAGGAAATCAAAACCCCCTGGGCTATTAAATTTTGCAATGAGCTGCCATCAGAGACTGTTGAACCTCCAACACTAGGGTTATTTAAGCTTTAATTAGTGTTTATTCTGTATGAAGTTCCAACTGTTACAGGTCCAGGAGGAAACAGGTCGATGACCCATTTCCTTATGATACAAATTAATTGACATAAAACAGCTCCACTTGCAAACATTTACTACTGGCTGTGCAAGTGGACAATTCTTCTGAAATAGAACTTAGCAGTAAAAATGTCCATGAACGTTGACACAACAATTTCATTTCTGGGAATGTAGCCCATAAAAACAAACCCCTTCAAACTTATAAAATGTGATACATGAAGATACAATGGCATTATTAGTGATAATTCTGAGAAAAAAAAAAGATTTTTATATCCAAAAATAGAAAAAATGATTATTGTGAGTTTAGATGAAAAGACTGCTGTAACCATATACAGAGTTATCAAACTGACATTAAAATACGCAAAGAAAAGGACTAGAGGAAATGTAAGAAAAACTTACTTAGGAAATATCACAATCATTATCTGAGTGGTAGGACTTCTGGATACTTTTCTTTTACCTCTTTGCATTTTCTAAGTTTTCACTCATGTTCATGAATTATTTCAATAATAAAAACATGTTGAAGGCATAACATCTTTGCTCTATTTCAAAAGACAATCAAAGATAATCAATTCAGTAACACAACATGTCAGCCTTCCAATTCTCCTTTACTAACAGAATCCGGACTGCATCCAATTACAAGAGAAAGTTACCTCTCTCACCACCACCAGGAAGTGAACCGGGACAACCCTGAGGCAATCATGGCGGTCTTCTGTCCCTTGCCAGGGACTTGGGATGGGGGGGAGGGCAAGGCTTTAAAAAAAGATTTCACTCTCTCTCTCAAAAAAATTTTAAAAAAGGACCACAGGAGTAAAAGCTCCTATTCTGTGGTTTTTTTTTTAAAAAGAGCAATCCCTGCCTTTGAAATCCACCACCTCCCTCCATATTTTTAGTTGACATTCATTTTCACGACCTTTCAAGCTGCCAATCTTGAAAATTTACACATTCATTTCCAATTGAATTAATCTGTTTTTACATTCATGGAATAGTACAGAAAAAGAAAAAGAAAAACAAGGAAAGATGGGGGAGGGAAACAAGTAAGTCCAGTTAGTATAAACACCAGCCTTATCCAAAGTCCTTATCTTTTAGAATAAATGTTGAGAAGTATTTAATGCATGGAAGGTCACAGTGTGACAAGAAAAAAAAAAGATTTTTATATCCAAAAATAGAAAAAATGATTATTGTGAGTTTAGATGAAAAGACTGCTGTAACCATATACAGAGTTATCAAACTGACATTAAAATACGCAAAGAAAAGGACTAGAGGAAATGTAAGAAAAACTTACTTAGGAAATATCACAATCATTATCTGAGTGGTAGGACTTCTGGATACTTTTCTTTTACCTCTTTGCATTTTCTAAGTTTTCACTCATGTTCATGAATTATTTCAATAATAAAAACATGTTGAAGGCATAACATCTTTGCTCTATTTCAAAAGACAATCAAAGATAATCAATTCAGTAACACAACATGTCAGCCTTCCAATTCTCCTTTACTAACAGAATCCGGACTGCATCCAATTACAAGAGAAAGTTACCTCTCTCACCACCACCAGGAAGTGAACCGGGACAACCCTGAGGCAATCATGGCGGTCTTCTGTCCCTTGCCAGGGACTTGGGATGGGGGGGAGGGCAAGGCTTTAAAAAAAGATTTCACTCTCTCTCTCAAAAAAA